CATGGGGAGTCAGTGAAGTGACAGGAGCGACCGGGTGCAGAAGAGGTCAAACCCCGCGAGTCTGAAGTGTGTCATTGTTATTGTTTGTGAAGTTGACGGTAATTTTGAAGTTAGTTTGTTCCTGTTCCGCATTTAAAGTTATACCGAGGTAAATAAAAGTTGGAAGCTGAAGAAAGTGTTTGATACTCGACCATCCACGGTACATTTGGTGTCAGAAGTGGCATTTACCAGAATCCAAGTTGAATTTTGATGGAAACAAGAAGTAAATCAAAGAAGGAAGACCCTGCAATGGAGAACGCTAGTTTGATCGAACTGCTCATGCAGATGAAAGACGAAATGAGCGACAACAGTAGGAAAATGATGGACGAAATGAGCGACAACAGTAGGAAAATAGACGAAAAAATTAACAGAATGAATGACAAAATGGAAGACATCAATAAAGTTATGAAAGAAATGAGAGATAAAATTTGCGACAACGCTAAGAAATTGAAGAAATATTGCTAAGAAGACCTGAAGACAACCGTTGAAGATAAACTAAAGAACATCGAGGAAGACAGTGTCAAGTTCCAGAAGATTCTGAAAGAAGACAATACGAAGCTTCAGAACGATGTTAGAGATGAAAACATCAAGTTTCAAGACAAAGTTGATGAAAATATCTGCCGATTCCACGCACATGTGGAACAAGAAATAATCAAAATTAGACAGGAAGTAACCAGGTAAAATACAGGATCTGATACAATAAAATTTGAGGCGCAATCTCCAAGCAGCAGTAAACTGAAGCCGCCAACATTCGATGGTAAACTCGCATGGTCCACATATTTATGCCAATTTGAAGGCGCTGCAGTAGTTAACGGGTGGAATGATCAGGAGAAGGCAACAGCACTTTTCCCTACGAGGCGAAGCAACGGAAATCTTACGATCAATACCACAAGATGACCGTAAGAACTATCAGGCCATGCTCAAAATTTTTCAAATGAGGTATGGTGACGCACACTTGAAAGAAGTCTACAAACCCCAGCTTAGAAGCAGACGACAAAAGAACAGTGAAACCATGCAAGAATTTGGAGCAGACATTCTACGTCTAGTCAGGTTATCATATTTCCATCACTACCTGAGGAGATCATTCAACAGCTAGCGGTCGAAGCATTTGTTAATGTAATGTAAATGTAAATTTATGATTGGGAAATATCAACCCATTTACGTGTAAACCACTCTAAAGACCTTGCGCAAAACTAAGAGAGAAGCCAACCTGTTGGACTTGCGGAGGAGAAGGCCATATTCAAAAATATTGCCGAAATTTCAAGACCAGAAATTTTGAACGAAGAACCGCTTCTTCAAGAAGACGGCAGGAAAACTACAAATAGTCAGCTTTGAGGAGCGAAAGCTAGCTAGGTGCTACCAAGCCCCACCATCTACTATCAAGGTTACGATTTTTCGGCTCAAGAACACTGGATCCAGCTTGGTAGTACCAGGGACGATATGTGGCCGAGAAACTGAGATGATTTTGGATACTGGCTCAACTCACACCATCGTAAGACCTGATGTACTTTTTAATTGCCGCTATCGGAGTGAAAGAAGAAGTACTGGAATGAACTATGTTTTGGAATCAGCAAATGGAGAAAATATACCCATCAAAAGGTACGCATTTGGTAAGTTTTACCTTAGGCAGTATTACCTTTACCCACCTGGTTCTTGTTGCGGATATTATGGATAATGTTATACTTGGCTTAAACCTGATGAAAAAGCAACGTTTTATTTTGGACATACCTCAAAGAGTATTAAGATGTGGAAATCAAGAAATTGTTCTTTCGAGCCCAACGGCATATGCCCAAGGAGCTAGAAAAATAGAACTGATTGCCTTGGCTACTTGTAAAGACGAGTTTGACGAGAATGTCGTAATAATGGAAGGAGATCCTGAATCAAAATTATGCAGAAAAGGTATTGTGCCTGTACGTTTGATGAATGTAACCGAGCATAGCCAACTGTTGAAGAAAGGAGAGACACTAGGTAGCTGGGAACCGGAATGCACGATTGTTGCCTGTGAAGATTTACAGTGCAAAAGAGTTATTCCCAAGAACCTCCATCAAGCGTTGAAGGATTTGGCAGACAAGTCTTCGAAAAACTTAGCTGAAGTTCAAGCGCACCAAGTGGTCAACGTTCTGGAAAGAATTTTGGTCGTGTTTGCACTCTCTGAAGACGACTTCAGCAAGACAGATGTAGTTCAGCATCGAATAAATACTGACGATGTTGCTCCAATTAAATTGCGTCCTCGAAGAGTTCCGCTTGCCAAGCAGGAAGAATTGGTTCATATGTTAGCAGACATGGAGAAGCACGAAATAATTGAACCATCACAAAGTCCATGGACGTCACCCGTAGTGCTGGCCAAGAAAAAGGATGGTTCCAGCCGATTCTGCGTTGACTACCGAAGGCTTAACGACATCACGAAGGAAGACAGTTTTCCTTTGCCCCGTATCGATGATACACTGGACACACTGTCGGGCTCAAAATGGTTTACCACGCTGGATTTGAAGAGCGGCTATTGGCAAGCACGAATGTATGAATGCGACTTTGGCAGTTTAATGTAATGCCTTTTGGACTCTGCAAGGATCCAGCAACTTTTGAGCATCTAATGGAGACCGTATTACAAGGATTAACCTGGAAGGCTTGTCTTGTATACCGGGCTGATGTTATAATACTTGGAAAAACATTTGAAGATCAGCTCAAGAACATCGAGCAAGTTTTCAACAAATTGAGAGCTGCAGACCTGAAGTTAAGCCCAAAGAAGTGCGCATTATTCCAAAAACAAGTTCGTTACCTGGGCCATATAATTTCTGCAGATGACGTAAGAACTGATCCCGAGAAAACAGAAGCAGTGCGATGTTGGCCTGTTCCAAGGAACCAATATGAAATAAGAAGCTGTTTAGGACTTTGCTCCTACTATAGAAAGTTTATTAAGAACTTTGCACAAATAGCACGGCCGTTACACCAACTCACAGAAAAAACAGAAACTACTGCGTCACGAGGAGGGAGTTATTGGCAATGATAAAATCCGTACGCTATTTCCATAAGTACTTGTATGGGCAGCCATTTCTCTTGAGGACTGACCATGCATCTCTAAAATGGTTGTTGCTGTTTAAAAATCCAGAAGGACAAATTGCTAGATGGCTGCAAAGTATCCAGGAATATGTCTTCAAAATTGAACATAGACAGGGTTCGAGTCATAAGATCGCAGATGCTCTATCCAGAAGACCGTGCTCAGATAATTGCAAGCACTGCAATAGACACGAAGAAAGGGAAGACCAAGAACACATTATCTGTCGCTGTACGAAATTAGAATGTTTGGAAGAATGGGAACCAAGTATCATTGCCAAAGAACAAGAAGAGGACCCCGATATTGGCCCGATTTTCCAATTAAAAGCAGCCAATGAAGACAACCCTTCTTGGCAAGATATTTCCATGAAGTCACCAGCATGCAAAAACTATTGAGCTAAATAGAATTCGCTGGAGATTAATAACGGTTTGCTGAAGAAAGTATGGGAAAGCACAGATGGCAAAAAACGAAGAAAAGCGAGTCGTTGAAGTGCTGCGATATCTCCATAATGGCCTTGGTGGAGGCCATTTTGGAGTATATAAAACTCTCGAAAAGATCAAAGAAAGATTCTACTGGGACGGATGGCGAACCGATGTAAAGAATTGGTGCCGTGCATGTACGGAATGTGCTGCCAGTAAAGGACCTCGCAGCCGGAGTAGAGAACCAATGAGACAGAATCTGGTTGGCTCGACATTTGAGAGAATTGCCATAGACGTAGCAGAGCCGTTTCCAAGAACTAAATCTGAAAATAAGTACATTTTAGTTGTGATGGACTACTTTAGCAAGTGGCCTGCGGTATACCCAATTCCTAATCAAGAAGCCACTACCATAGCAGATGTGCCCTTCCAAAACTGGGTGTGTAATTTTGGCTGTCCTAGAGAGATCCATTCGGACCAAGGAAGAAATTTTGAATCTACAGTTTTTCAAGAAATGTGTAAGCTGTTGGGAATTCACAAAACGAGAACAACACCTTTGCATCCAGAATCTGATGGCATGGTAGAGCGATTTAACAGAACCATAGATAACTATCTGAGAATCGTGGTCAACAATAAGCAGGATAATTGGGATACGCAACTTGCTCCATTCTTATTAGCCTATCGATCAGCAGTCCATGAATCCACTGGCAAATCTCCTGCAGAAATCTTATTTGGGAGGGAATTGCAACTTCCCATTGATCTACTCACAGGAAGACCGGAAGATTTACAAATTGGCGAATATTATGGATTCAAGCTAGCAGAACAACTTAAACTTGTACACGATGAGGTCAGAACAAAATTGAAGATCGAATCTGATCGAATCAAGAGCAGATATGACGCCAGACCGAATCAAGTCGAATTTAGCGAAGGTGAACGAGTTTGGTTTTTCAATCCCCGACGGACAAAAGGCCGTTGCCCAAAGCTTCAAAACTCCTGGGAGGGACCCTATACGATAATCACCAGACTCAATGATGTCACATATCGGATCCAGAAGAGCTCTCAGGCAAAATTTAAAGTTGTCCACATTCACCGTTTGGCCAGATATAACGATGATCCAGGAGTTACCTAATCGGGGCGATCAGTGTTTAGAAGGGGGGCAGTGTAACGGAAATGGCCTGAGGTACTCACGTTTGGAATGGGGGGATCGAAATTCATGGTATTCCAGTAAATAGGAGCTCCATTTACTGTCAAATATGACACTGACAAGCGGGAAATTTTACACCTGGGCTGGAGATTTCGAGAACCTTCTGGGTTACCTGGAGTAAACTATATAAGCGGATACGAAAACCATGGGGAGTCAGTGAAGTGACAGGAGCGACCGGATGCAGAAGAGGTTAACCTCCGCGAGTCTGAAGAGCGTGTTTTCCGTGTGTTATTGTTATTGTTTGTGAAGTTGACGGTAACTTTGAAGTTAGTTTGTTCCTGTTCCGTAGTTAAAGTTGTACCGAGTGGAATAAAAGTTGTAAGCTGAAGAAAGAGTTTGATACTCGGCCATCCACGGTCAATATGTAATTTATGCATCCCGGCATATTGACTTTTTGTCATTGAAAGTTGAAAATTTTAAATTATAATTTTGATATACGGGGTATATCTTAATGTCGGCGGTGTTACGTAGATGTCTTTGAAATAAAAAAAAATGTTTTTTGCTCAACCTGCTATCATGTGGAACTTTCACCAATTTTGCATTGTTTCATTTGCCACCCAATAGAAAATTTATCTGAAGCACTATTTTTTTATAAAACACGCACTAATCAAAACATGGAGCTAAATAACGCTTCCAACAGGAATGAAATCGCTCCCAGCAATCAGTTTGTCCAGTTTTAAAATTGGATCCAAAATTGTCAGTTTGACGGTGATTTCGTTGAGCAGTTTAGTAATAAAATAATTAAACTTACCTAACCTTTACGTTGTTCCCGAAAATAGCACTTTTTCACAAACAAACAAAATCTAGGGGTTAATAAATAAATGTGGAATTTACCGAAAAACTTTTCTTAGCACTTAACAAAAAGCATCGATATTCGTCAGTACAACAATACTGTAGTTATGAACCGTATGGTTCTTAGCTCTTAAACACTTTGAGTCTCCGAACAATGGCGGGCATTTAGTATTTTATTGGCCCTTCAGATTTTTTACACGGACACTTTAGTTCCACAAACCATTTGGAACTCATAAATTCATGATATATTATCATAATATAAAAAAAAAACATTTTTAGCCAGTTTTGAGTCAGTTGTTAATTGATTGTCTATTGTACTCTTTATTATTATTGTAGATATTGTAGTAGGCATTTAGAACCCGCACGGTTGCTAATACTTGCAGTTCTAAATAAATTATTGTCTTTTGAACAATTTCTGAAAGCAAGTTATTTAACTCTATAAAGCAAGATGCCACACATCAATAAATAAATTTTGGTACAGTAATAATAAGTAAGACAATTATCAATTTTAATAACCGTATTTTTGCAAATATGCAATTTTGAAATAAGTTACAATTATCATGTTACATTTCATATTATAAATGTAAATGTAAAATATAATTGAGGTTTTCCATGCGGTAACGTGCAACGCTGTTTTTAGTGATTAAAATCGACCGACGTTGAAAATCAAACGCAGCTTTCGGTATCCATCCGTATCGGTGCGGGTTCGGGTATTGATTACCAGTTACTTTAGATAGTCTGAACGAGTACTCGGTAGGAATAGGCATTCGGTACTTGTATTGATTACCAATTAGTTTAGTTACTCTGAACGAGTACTCGGTCTGAATGAGTACTATCATAGATATAGGAATTCGGTACTGGTATTGATTACCAGTTAGTCTGACCGAGTACGAGTAGTAGAGTGAAGAAAACGTGGCCGGCTTTGGAGTCGAAGGTTAGGATCGGTGACTTGATTTTTCGAGAACGATTATTGATTACTTGAATACTCGTTTGGTAGCTTGGTTCGGTAATCGTTACTTCGGATACTGATGAGTAAAGAGTACTCGAATATCGATTAGTTACTTTGTTCCCACCACTACCTTCGAGGCTGGCCAGAACGTGCAAGCTAGAAATTACACTAATCCAGCTACCAAGTGGGATTTCAGCACTATCGTGGAAAGGACAGGAAACTTACCTTACGATGTCTATTCAGGGACGTACGCAAAAGAGACATGTCGACCAGCTCTTACATTTTGCTGGGGAAATTCCAAATGCCCAACGTCCGATCGATGTGGAGAAGGATTTACAAAAAGAAGAGATTCCAGATCCAGAAGTCGAAGATATCCAAGAGATTCCACAACAGCTTACATCTGAGAATCCTACGACCGAAGTTCCAGAGGTACGCCACCGTACGATAGAAGTTCGAGAGCCACGCCGCTCCCGGAGGAATAGGAAATCTCCTCAGCGAATCAACCTCTAGATCACGAGGAGGATAGTGTTGAGTCCGTACTATACGGGCGGCATCGCCAATCAGAGCCACCAGCAGTGCCAGACGACCGTCGGTTAACGGTTCTCATCGAACATTTTTAACTCATTGAATTATCATTCAAGTTGTACTATAATTAGAGAATAAAAGGTTGAATCAAGTGGGCGAGATCAATCCAAGGGGGACTAGCAAATACGTAACACGTATAGAGGTTCAAATTGAACTATGTGGTTTTTAATTGATTTGATATCGTAAAGATCTGTATTGTTATCGTTTGACTTTAGATTAACATAGAACATTGGAAGTGGTATTTTGGTTATTCGGTGTTTAATGTGCTACACGTTGGTTATAACATGACCTGCTTCTAGTAGCGATTGTTTTATGACTTCAGTGGATGAAGAGGGATGGGTTCCTCTAAGAACAACTCTAAAACTTCTCTCTTGTTTGAATTTGCAGGAATGATGTTCTGTTTTTCTGTTATCAAGAACCTTTACACAGATTGAAAGTTTTTGTCACTTGATTTTGCAAGAAGACTGCAATTTTTGATAAAAAAATGTCATCTCTGATAAAATAAAAATTGGCGACGGATATAATTTTATTTCATTGGTTAATGCTTAAATTTAATTAACTTCGGTATTCTAGCCACAAAATTGTAACGTGATTTAACAATCAATAGCCGAAAACTGTAAAAAATATATTTGTTACAAAAATGAGAGGCCAATAAGGACCTGGTTATCATATATTGCATTTTTCTAAATCCTCTGGACTCATTCCTCTCGAAATTAGGTCGGCTGGATTATCAAGAGATCTTACATGATTCCAATTATCAATTTGTGATGTAGAGAAAATTTCTGAGACTCGGTTTGATACAAACGTTTTCAAATTCGATGTTTCTATATGCAACCACGAGAGAACAATTGTTGAATCTGTCCAAAAATAGATTTCTGATATCGATATTGTTCGGATGTTTGCACACATCTCTTCAATATAGTGGACTACAGCGCTAACTTAATTTATTGTAAAATACAAAACACGTGGTAACAATTAGCTGATCTGATGGATGTCGGTGCAGCGATAATCGAATAATGCGTTTACGATTCACAATGCGCTTCACATGAAGTGCATTGACAGACATCTGCGTGAAAAGTGGTGCCAACATGCTGGCAGTTCTTACAA